TTCCAAATGTTCATAACATGTTTAATTCTAATGTTCACAAAGTTCAGTATTTTAATTCAATCCGAGTTAAGACACTTCACGTTGTTCTTTTAACTGACACCATTACACTCTCAGAAGAGACTGAAGCACTTTCCATTTACATTAAAGGACTCGCGCCTATGCTGTTTTCCAAAGCAAATTATGATGAGGGCAGCTGTGAACTTAGCTTGTGCTCATGCAGATGGTGTTCTGATCATTCAGGCGCGATGCGAGGCAGCTTCTCTGCCTGTGAAACTTCAGCGAAAAGTAAAGAAAAGACAGAGCAGCTTCGTGGTCAGGAAGATTGAAGTGTATTTGCTAAAAGATCCGTCAGACAGGCAGGCTTTGAAGATGGGAAAGGAGGAGTGTTTTTGTTTTCTTGAGATGAGTTTTGTGTTTACAAAGAAGTGATTGGGCTGCTCCGACTGCTGAAGTCGTCTTATTGCTGTGAAGTCAGGGAGACTTAATAGAGAAAAGGATCTGTCTCCTAATAAAACAAGCAGACTCAACGTGGACAGTAAGCAGTGAAGTGGTGATTTCATTGTACCGCAGTGTGAGTGAAATATGTTGCCATCTCTGAATGACAGGGAGCAAGTGTGAGCAATTATGTTTACACATCTTGTAGGCAATTTGACAGCAGGGAAACGGAGGAAAGCGTCTCACTGAAGATTGTGGCGGAGAAAAGCGTTGTGTAATTGTTTGCAGCAGCATTGTTTTTGCTCACCAGCACGCTGGAAAGCAGATTGCGTGAGTCAAAATGCAAATTAGATGGTGGGTTTGATCATTCAAGAGGAATGCACTATTAGGACCATCCAATGGTATAAAGTCAGCGTGTTTGGAATAAAAAAACAATGCAGCCAATGAAAGTTATGAAAGATTCAGCCTCCTGTCTTGACAGTAATGGCCAATTCTTTGTAATGGATGTGGAAAAAGACCGCAGCAGGCAATTAGTGGGATACTGAAGGCAAAAGCTCTGAGGCATTTGTTTCATTGTCAGGAAAAAAAGAAATGTGACACAAAACAATAGAGGGAGAATTATTTTTTGGACCATTGCCTTAAAACTGCAAATGGCTCGCTTTTAGGGAGGGCTGGGACAAATTTCCGAGCTGTAAACGTGGCAATAATGTATAATTGTCTAAAGAATTTAACTTGATTTGCTGATTTGTTTTATTTTTTATTTTTTTTTTTTTTTTGCCAGGACTCATGGAATGGGAGCAAATGTATCATTTAGACAAAATTGTAAACATAATCTCCTCTTTGATGCAAAGCTTCAAAACTTGGAATAGTTGGAAAAGGTGGAATAGTTTGTTTTAAAGCATCAAGTCAGATCTCCTAATATCCATCTCAGATTTATATAACATGTATTATACCTGTCAGCTTTCATATATTTACATTTTATTTCTCAAATCTTCATTGCTGCTACACTTAAAATACGATACCTATCTTACCAGAGGGTAATAAAGAACACATGATGGCCAATTTTAAAACAGGGTTCTTGAAAGGCCTTGAATTCATCAATCCAAAATCAAGGCCTTAATTAGCTTTAAAATGTCTTAAATCCATCTTTCAGTGGTCTTAAAAATATTAACACATTGTAAGTAGGAGGATTTGTCTCAAATATTAAAATAATTGGTAACATTTATTTTTGAAATATTTTACATGCAGACATTCCCCTTTGACGCCACTTCCTGTTACTTCACATGCAAATATCTCAACAACTGTTCATCTGAGCAACATGGAATTTATTTTATAAAATGTTTATAATGTTGCCTTTCCAAAAATTTACTCATATTTCTTACAAGCATTTGATGTCACAGGCACTTTAAGTTTTCATCTACAGCAAGTTGGGGTTGAGAACCCACTGTGGGTCCTAAAACTCCAAATTTTGGGTCGTTTGATGATTTCCAGGAATTAAATTAGGTTTAAAACTGACTGCAAAGAATGTGTCTGCTATATTTGACAAAAATGCATATGGATAAAAACAAATGGTCTTTTAGCAATATTTGAATACTTCAACCAAAAATACTTTAATTCATGAATTTCTGACAGTTTTAATTATTTTATTTTATTTATTCTTTATTTTATTTTGTCATTTGTGTTTATTGTAAAATTGGTCTTAAATTTCATTTCACTTGGCATTAAAAAGTCTTAAATTTAACTGGCCTTAAACTGTAGGAACCCTGTAAAAGTTCTGCTTCCACAAAGAAACTAAAGAAAATCATTTGATGCTGCTTCTTCAACCAGCATATTATCACTAATACAAAACACTGCTGGCCAGATAATGAAGTGATTGCATGGACTATTAGTGACCTACAGATTATCAGCYTAAATACAGGTTTTATGTCAGGGTCAGAGTTGTAGAAGGCAGCGACGGAGGGAAACGGAACGAATCATTTAAGGATTTTTATGAAACAYTTTGTCATTAACTTTCATTACCAACCCTTACTCCAAACTTTTTCTTGTGATTTTTCTAAATCAATAAAACACTAAAGGAAGAAACCATTTCATTAGAAGTGTCTAATTCACCGAAATCTAAACAAACTCAACAATCCATCTCATTAATGGTATAATTCCCACACCACTGATGCTGTGCCAGGTGTTAGGGCTGCAGGTTTTCACACTGGAGACGTTTCTGGCTCATCTGTTTGATGCTCGTTGCCCTCGTCTTTGTTGTCAGTCGACCCATCGTGGCACCAGTAACACCCCTTCCTCTCACCCCTGACCAGCCTGGCTAAGGTGACACAATTAAAATTATATAGATATTATCTGAGCTACTCTGCTCAGTTTTTACATTATTGTTGTTTCTATGATTGTGTAATTATTCCCCCTTCAACTCGTTTTGTTTTGTTTTGTTCTGTTCTCCAGTGTGTTTTGGGCTGATTAACAAGAACAGATGATAGAGGATAGAAAAACCCCACACTGTGGAAGAATGTACCGGCTAAAACACTGATGGAGATGTTTATTTAACAGAAGCCAGTTGGCTATAAACAGAAAATAACCTTCTTTTTTTTCTATGACCTCCTGCCCATTCCCAAATACAGAAAGTAAAAATATGATTTGTACAAAATAAATACATGAAAAACTCAAGGTTTGTGCCTTTCTTCTTATTAAACTTGCTGTTTATATTATTTTGTGTTAAAGATCTGTGTCTGACCTTTTCAAAACTAAACATAAATGAGAATCAAGAGTCTGAATCTTTATTCTGCTCTTTTCTTCTAGGACAAAACTTCATCTCCTGGAACTCAGACATAGCTTTGTTTTCAGTTTGATTTATTGTTTATTCAATTTATTTCATWCCCAATACCAAAACAATCTATATACAGTACATTCAAATAAAAATAAAATAATAAATCATGCCGTGAATGAAAAGGGTGCAGAAGGAAGAAAAAACTGTATCGTATCTGCCCCTTATTTTCAAAAAAAAAATTTAGCTTCTTAAAATTAAACCATAGTGAAAGATTGGGTTAATACCCAGTCTTTCACTATGGTTAGCTATTAGGTATTAACAAAATGTTAATTTGATCAGTTTGYTAGAAAAATCTCACCATTAAATGCACGAGTAAATATCTTCTCTGTTTTTATGCACATTATTCAACTTCTGTATTAAATTTCAGTTCCAAAATCCTTTCAGAATGCTCCCAACTCCTTTTCTCTTTTAAAGCCACGTTATTTATTGTTGCTGATGAGCCACAATTAGGTTTGTTTGACTGACAGTTTAATGTCCTGTCATTAATGCTGCAATCACATCAACAGTTTGTGTCACATGACATGTTTGTTTTTCCTCCTCGACGAGGCTTATTTGCACTGAATGCTGCTCGTGTTTCTTTGTGTTTTGACAGAGTCGACAGGAAGGATTTTAGCTCAGCGCTTTGGTCCTCTCACAGAAGCCCCGCGTTGTCATACGAACCTTATTCAAATAAAACAGGCTGATGTTCTAAAAAGCTCAGCGCCAAAGTGATTTCTGAGCACCCTTCACCAGCCCTGGCTGGGAAATCTTTGATTAACCCAAATAGATTTGAGCAAATGGATCAGCACATCATCATCATCATCATCACTGCGAACTGCCTTGAGTGACCGTTCATATTTTAGTCAAACTAATCAACAGCATTGTGAAAGCTTCATTTCTTTTCCAATTCATTCTCCTCTAATCTTTAACTCTAATGTTTTGAGTCAAGAATTAAACAAAAGATGCTGGAAATGTGTCATTGTTCTGCAGAATTGAAAAGTTGCTACACAAACTTGTGTGATTGGATTTTTAAAATGATGAGTATGAAAATAGAGTTCAGAACAAAAAATAAGCAAACTGAGACTAAATTATATACCAAAGAACGTGATGGTGATATTTAAAAGTCGTGTCCACCCCTGCCCAATACCAACCAACAGTCCTATTGATTCATTGCACTTACCGTAGTTGATGTKAACATTTTTCTTTCCTTTTACATGGCAGGATTATACATTGTAAGCTTATTAACTGGGTAAAGTTTGCAGAGATTTCTGCACCAATATCCTGAGCCTCCCAGTGGTCTTTATTATGTGAGCAGCTCGTGGTATTGGCTTTTTTTTCTGTCCAGCAGTCTGGCCTTTCCTCCTCTGAGGTGGGACTATTGACATTTTCCAYCGTCGGGTCTCCTTCTTCACAGTCAGGGACAAACTGGGTGGCAGAGGTGATGAGGGCCAGCAGCTTTTCAGTCGCTATGTGCTTTACAAAGTTCAGGCATGACACCATCGTGACCTTCTACACTGATTTTTTAAAAGTGTTTAAGTGTTTTTTTTTTTCACCTAAGCAAAAGTTAGTTTTTTGTTTGATAGCACTATCAGAGATCTGCTAAAATGTCCAAGAAAAAACTCAATGGCTGGACAAAGAATTGAGAAAAATATTTAATTTTTTTTACATCAATTGAAAATATTTTATGAGTACACAGGAGGCATTTCAGTTACAAGTTACGCTGTTTCCTTTTTGTTTGTCTTTTATTTAAATCCAGGTGTGGCAGTGTGGAGGCAGCGTTGAGGTCCTGCCTTGCGCCCGCATCGCCCACATTGAGCGCGCTCACAAACCGTACACCGAGGACCTGACCTCTCACGTGCGGCGAAACGCCCTCAGGGTSGCAGAGGTCTGGATGGACGAGTTTAAAAGCCACGTCTACATGGCGTGGAATATTCCCGTGGAGGTAAGAAATAATGCCTTTTCAGATGAACAAAACAGCGTTTACGCTGCATATATATACGGCATATTTTACAGGTATTTGGTCAAARTAATACTTGGCGTATTTCACTAAATTTTCCATTTCTTCTTTTAGAATCACTTCGTTGAATTTTGAGGCTTCAGAGGAAAAATAATCTTGTTAAAAAAGTTTTAGTTCAGATTTTGAGCACCTCAGACAACAAAGAGCGACTTTGTCATATTAAAAGAACTAAATACTTGCTTGTTTAAATAAGTCAAACATGGGCAAAAGCTTCCATGGATTATATTCAAAACAGTGTAATGATAGTATCACACAAAGATAACTTCTTTGGCCTTCTTGCCTTTTTGCCAGTAAAAATTTCTATAGCATCAAACCTTGCTATTTTTTTTTTATATTTAAAAAATTTTATACACAAATTTGAAATAGAAGAAATTAAAAGTTATGGTTTCGTTATCATTCTAAACAATGATCAGTTGAAAAGTGCTGAATAAAATAACAACACCACTGATATTATTCATTTATCTTTGTTTAACCATGCAGGGAAATCCCATCTAGATCACATATCTATTTGGCAAGGCATATAAAACTGCAGCAATAAAAGGAAAAAATCATCAAAATCAATCTGTTTTATTAAACTAGTTTTGAAAACTTTCAAAAAATGTGTCATCTGTGTGATTTATCACTTACTTCCTCTGAAGCTGTCTGATATCCAATTCTTTGAGTTCCACAGTTTCACGGATGACATATATTGAACTAAATTGACTCTAAAGTTTGTAATGCAATCTTGTGCTTGTGTGTCATTTTTCAGATGTCAGATTTAAACTGACTAAAGGCTTTAAAAAGTAGAACCAAATCCTGCAGACAAACCCAAAAAAACTCCTTTTTCTCTGTTTACCAAGTGAAAATATGAGGGAATTCGTACAGTAAGTTGTTGTCAAGCAAAACAACTAGACTTATATTTTGAAGCTGTATTAGGGAAGTGAAACATCTTTAACTTCAACATTTAAGTCCAGGTTTTTTGTTTTATTTATTTATTTATTTATTTATGTTTGCTGAGTCCTGGGTGACTGAGAATCTACTCTYACATCACAGAAGATAATTTCATAAACTAGTTATTTTTGTCTAACTGTGAATAACCTTTTAAAGCTGATTTAAAAAAACTGACTTTTGTTTCTACTTCTTGCAAAATCCTAAAAATATCAGAAAGCACGTCCTAAATTTGCAGCAGCAACCTGCAGTCCGCAGCCATTTAATTTAAGTGTCACAAGGTTCCATGTCATCTGCTCTCTTCAAATTGCAGATTTTTGTTCAAACAAGGCTCCTGACACTCCTTAAGGACCCACATGAAATGATTTTCTTGTCGTTTGCAGATTGGCCTGAATTAGAAACGTGCTAGCGAATAAATAAATGTCTAATACGGTTCAATAAAACGGTCTAAATGGAAACATTATTTGGTAAAATATTCATCCTAAAGGCTGGCAATACCATTTCGAGAGATGAATTGAGAGAGGAAATTAGATTACGTCTGTGACTCGGGTGCAAAATAATTAATAACGTCGTGAAACAAAAGCGTAATACAAAGATGTGAGATGAACATAATTAATTTTTGAAGAATCTCTGCMTTTGGGTTTATTTGAAAACAACAATACATCTGCTGTGTCAACATCCTCTTTAGCAAGTTTGCAAAGTCGCTCTCCRGTGGGTTTATGCAGCTGAATTATTTTAGGGCARGTCTTTTTTTCTTCTTCTTGATATYGATTTAATGAAGTTAAAAAATAAAAATAATGCCGCTACTCTATCATCCCATGACAAATTTAGCATCCCTCGAAGGCGAACTTAAATGTTTGCTTACCAAAGCTATTTTTTCTCTTGTCCTGCATAATTTGTTTGAATATGTAAATCCATATTATAAATACATGAAATGAACATCTGCAGGCGATTCGTTCAGTCAATAATGAGGCATTTAACACAGGCTGTACTCGCCGAGCGTGAAATTTCAGCCCCAGCTTTCAGCACCGTGAATTAACGACACYGCAGAATCAGTAGCTTTAAATGAGAACGTAACGATCCATGGTGTTCGTCTGAAGTTTCCACCTTCTGAGGTCATATTTGGATGTTTCAAAGCAGCTGAGAAGTTTTAACTTCTTAGATTAGATTAACCAGGTTAGACTTTGTGCAACAGATGCTAACATGCACTGATAAGAACATCCAAAGTAACTCGTAAACATAAAAAGTAYTACAATTCAAATCAAACTCAACTGAACTAAATAAATAGTAGTGTTAGTTATATGTGTTATCAAATAAYAGCCCAATTTCACTTTTTCGGGGCAAACGATTCAATACAGTTGTCTTACATTTTAGGGCTGTTTCTTGTGTCTTCATCTGACAAGCCAACAGTCATTATGTCATAAGTAAATCCAGTAAAAATGTAGATCCAGTCTGATTTTAAAAAATGCTTTTCTATTCAAACTGCTGTTGGGTGTATCTAATTTGCTGAGAGATGAATGTTCCAGTGATTTTACTTGCACTAGACTGGCTCAGTGGACTGTTTTTGAACTTTGCTACCGGATAGTAGATAGTCTTCAAGTCACAAATAAAACAAAAACTAGAGAAACTGTTTTTTTATGAGAAAATACAATATGTGGAATAGATGTCCTGATGCATCTCAGTAATCCAGGTAGAAAAAATCAAAAAGAAAAAATAAGTAGGTCCTCTGGATGGGTTCTTCTTTAGTGAAARGTTTCATCTCTCCTCCAAGAGACTTCTTCWGTCTGATGAGTTTCAGGTGAACTCAGCCTTATAAGCACTGCCTCCACATGGACAAACAGGTTAGTCACATGCAWAAGAGGGCCATCGCCTAACAATAGGCTTGATTAGTTCTATTGTTCATAGAGGGTCARGTGCCCCATCACCTGACCCGTGTCATGTTATGTGTATGTAGTGGGGTTCAAAGTCCCCTTGTTTTTGTCTCTCTTTCCCTCTTTGTGTTGGGTATCATTGGGGCTCAGATTCACACCTTTTACGTGGAATAGAGATGGGATAAATGTGTCTTTGAAGGGAACCGGCTCTTGAGCCATTTGTTTCACGGAGCCGATCCAAAGAGCCGTTCCTTTTTGTACAAGTTACGTCATCACATAGGGAAATACATCTTTTCACATGGGTTTTGTTAAGCAGGATCCCCCCCCCTCTTCCTCCTGAGATACTGTACCACACCCTCTGCCTGTTATTCATGAAAAAGGAGGAGCAATCGTCTCTGTGGCTTAGGATGAAAGATAAAGAAAATAACACAGATTAAAAAAAAATAAAACTACAAACTCTTTAATAGCTTGTTGTAAAGAGCTGTTAAAAAGATTCGGATCGTTTGCAAACATCACATSTTTACYGAGGAAGACTTTTCTGAAATTWTCTYAAGAAGCTGAAACTGAGTRTTTTAAATAACAYGTTGAACACTAGCCAAAAGCTAAAGGAACCAGAACAGTAGCTAAAAGGTTAAAGTTAAAAAACAACACTAGCTTAAAGCCAAAAGTAGSCTTAGTAAAATCTCAAAYTAGCTAAAGGCTAGCTAAAAGTAGAAGAAATATAGCTGAAAACTATTAGTAGCAAAAGACTAGTAAAAACTAAAGTTGCCAAAAGCTAACTAAAAGCTAAAAGTAGAAAAAGAAGACAAGTGTCCTGAAGCAGATTTCATAAAAAAAAATGTTTTACAAGAATAAAAAGTTTAATATTTTAAAAATTAGAAAAATCCGAAGTCGTACTATGAGCTCATTTATCTATTAAATAAGCTGAATATTTTGATATGTAAATGACTTGAATAGTACAAAGTATGCAGAGGTAGCTGGACTGTAAATAAATAAATAAAAAGCAAGAAAATGCTGACTCAGCTTTTGTACGTTTAAAACCAGCAGCCGTTTGCTCCTTTACTGCTGAATAATTTTACGTCTTCCCAGATTGTGTTTTTGTGTGCATCTATGCATGTGTGTGAATTTTGTCCAACTTTGTGTCCGTCGCAGGACTCAGGGATTGATATTGGCGACATCTCTGAGAGGAAGGCTCTGAGGAAGAGGCTGCAGTGCAAAACGTTCCGCTGGTACCTGGTGAACATCTACCCCGAGATGAGGATGTACAGCGACACCATTGCATACGGCGTGGTAAGARGTTTCCCTTCGTCTTCATCCCAAATTCACTTCAGTATCTGTAAAACAAAAACTAGAACCCAMCTATAGCAAATCAGGGAAATTCCACATAATGAGATGCAGAAGGATGCTGTCAAAAGCACAAACAGTTTATGTCCTTTTTCATTACTTAAAGAGAAGTTATTGAGAGACTTTTTTTATTTTTTCATTAAATTTTTGTTCTTGGCCTAYATACAGAGATAAATTAGTTGAAGCTTACATAATGATATGTATATTACATTCCTCTGGAGAGCTTTGCAGCAAGATCTGCCAGAAAAAACTGACAGCCAGCAGGGCAGGCTGGCAGCACTTCTAGTTGTTCTCAAACAGCCTTATTTCCACAGTCCTCCCACCTTGCATCACCATGATGTGCTCTAATAGAGAGTGGCACACAGGCCTCACAGTGACAGCACTGCTTTCTCCGTGTTTGCGATTTATTTATTTTATTTTTYTTTTTATTTTTTTCATTTTACATGCAGGCAAACATTAAACACAGAACATCCCTATATGGGCATCATTATGTTTATTTCTCAGAGTTAGCTGACCTCATTCTATATGTGACATGCATTTTATGGTTTGGTCAGTAAAGACGCCTCAAGGATTCATTATATACAGCAGTCTGTCAGCCTTGTTTACATACAAAAAAAGACCAGGTTTCATTGTAAACCATAATGTTTCTTTATTTTCCATAAAACTTTACTTTTAGATATACATATAATTGTGTATAATTAAATAAAAAATGATTTGTCTGGCTAAAGTGGCCCAGAGATTTGACCTGGTTTCATTTTATTTAAGGTAATTTCTTCCCCCGAGGTCTTGCATCCTGTTGCCTATAGCCTAAATAAAAAGATATATAAATAAGATTTAAATAAATAAAACAGCTGTAGCAGATGCTAAAAATATAAGGAAACAATTGCAGTCAGATGAAACATCAAATATTGTTACTCTCCTGTAAAAAGTTGGTTTTAGGGGGTCGTTTTTGTTTCCTTACAACGGGTCTACAACCTGTGGCTCTGGGGCCACATGTGGCTCTTTGAAGCTTTGACCAAAGCTAATATGAGGTTCAATTTTTTTTGATTAGCTTTAGCAGTTTTTCTGTCAAATTTCTGTCAAATGTTTACAAATACGTGACCAATTCAACATGTTGATTTGATCACYCTAGCAGCCTGTAGCGCTTCAAAAATCCAACTTCCAGCCAAAGTTTTTCTTTGATCWTTCTCTCAAATCATCAATGTTAGCTATAAGAGTAGATTAGATGATAATAAGAATGCAAAAAATATGCTTGCATAGTTCAGTTGTAGTATTAGTTTGTAATTCTGTTTATATACAACATTTTTCTTATTTACATTAATGTGTTTTACTTTTGTTCTGAAGTAGAAAATATATTTAAAAAAAAACATTAAAAATCACTATATATTTTTAGTCCTATAATGTCACCCCACTGGCCAGAAAAGTCTCCCTTCAACAAACTTAAACTGGCCCACGGGCCACCAGTTGATAATCACAGCTGTAGCACGTCACGGACACATTTTATCAGTGTGTTTATCAGTAAAGGTTGCAGACCCCTGCCTTATAACTTTAAGTTTAACTTTTCATAAAAAAAAGACTTGGAACTGACTGGTTTTCAGTTTGACCTGTGACCATCCAACACTTGAAAATAATTATAACTTATTTGATGCATAAATTCTTTGTTGTTGCATTGCTWTCAAAGAAATCCTGATGTGAAGGACTGCTTTAAATCTATTTCTTTTTGCGTCAATATTCCACCCACATAGTATATTCGTTTATTTCAAACAGAAATAAAAAGGGGCTCTCAATAGTGTTGTTCTGTGTTCACAGGTGTCATTCAATGCTGCTTTTTTCCCTCTCTCAGCACTTGAAATGTTTAGATTTGCTGTTGGCAGAACAATGTTCTACCTGTGGGTTTACTGATCATCAGATAGAAGTAGACATCTCCGGAGCCAGTGGGGAGCTGGAATTATTCCCAGCTGTGTATTTTTCTGATCCTCCATGTTTGTATAATTCTCCCCTCACACAAACTAGCATCCCTGGAGCTCCCTGCGGTGCACTTTGTACCTTGCAATCAGGCAGACCTTTGTCATGACGAGCATGAATAATCCTCTGGGCCTGAAAGACTGAGTCATGTTCGTGAAGCGTAAAACTTTGATTTGCATTTTTATAAAGCAAAATTGACTTTAAGCAAATTCAGGTGATGTTTCACATCAAACTCCCCCTAGCATCTGGTATTTTCTAAAATTTGCTTTAATCTTTATGTTTTGAGAATGAGGACAGAGGTTGACCCTGGTATGATGTGGTTACTGTGGAGCGTAAACAGCTTTTTTTTTATTTTTTATTTTTTTTTTGAGGATGTCCAAACTCAAAACTATTGGAACACATTTTCATATCAAAATGAAGTGATGCTGTGAGCAGTTCTCAGTGTTTGGATTAGGATTTCTCCTCAGTGGCACTGAAATAATTCACTGCAGGGATTAGGAGAGCTGACAGATGAAGGATTCTCACTCTGATAGATTGATAGATTATCTGCAGAATGAGCTCTATATACACAGAATTAACCTGTTATTTATATTCTAAGATGATATTTTATGTACAGTACTTTGCAAGTAAACTGATGTCACTGATAAATGATTATAATAAATATTAGAGATGATATTTTATGTACAGTACTTTGCAAGTAAACTGATGTCACTGATAAATGATTATAATAAATATTAGATGGAATCTTGTCATACTTTTGATTCCACCACTAACGTAAGCATGTTTGTTTGTTTGTTTGTTTGTTTGTTTGTTTGTTTGTTTGTTTGTATCAGCTGAAAAACTCCCTGAAGAGTGACCTGTGTCTGGATCAGGGGCCGGACAACGACAACGTCCCCATCCTGTACCTCTGTCACGGGATGACCCCACAGGTTAGACACTTACTGTAATATATCTGTCTCTGTGCCGCTGCTGCATTCTCCTCGTTTTATTCCCTTTCTGCATTTAAATTACAGCATAATTTATTGACGAAAAAAAAACCTTGTCTTTGCTGTTAAGTATACGTACATAATCAAATCTATTTTTCTTCACTTCATTAAAGCTGCAAACTGGTTCTGAGAAATGCCTCAGACAAAAACAGCATAAGAAATTCTTTAGGTTGTCTCTGTCTCACGGTTTCTTTAAATTATTAGTATTGTGAATGCTTGCAGAAAGTAATAATTGGAAGTACATTTAAAGCTCATTAACTTTTGGTGTCAACCCAGTTCAAAAGGCTACCACAGCCTATTGACCCTAAAAACTCAAAAATGTCTGTAACCCAGTCACTTCTACAGATACAGAGCTCACATTTGATTTGGCAGTAGCTGAGGCTGATCCTCAATGTACACTTTAAATCAGGGCTATTCAACTGGCGGCCCATGGGCTACATCTGGCCGGTGCATTACCAAAAATCCGGCCGTCAATTGATTCATTAATCTCTTAAGCCTAAACTCTTGGTTTTCCACTTCCATCCATCCATCCATTTTCTGTACACGCTTCTTCCTTTCAGGGTTGCGTGGGTCACTGGTGCCCATATCCAGCAGTCACAGTGCGAGGGGCGGGGTACACCCTGGACAGGTCGCAAGTCCATCACAGGCGGTTTTCCACTTTATTACTATAAATTATTTTTGGTTAAATGTAAACATGTATGGTATCTACAGAAATGTCAGAATCTTTTCTAGAAGCTGGAAAAAAATTAAACTAAAAGCAAATGAAGTTAAAAATAAAAAGTAAAAAAAAATTGATTAGAGATGTCAGAGATGTCAAAATAGTATATTTTTAATTTCACAGCTTTTCAAAATTAATTTTATTTATAAAAGAAACAAATCAAAAATCCATTAAAAAGGTTATACCAAACACTGAGAGAAAAGGATGCAGAAAGATGAAAAATCTTGTCATTTATTTGAAAAAATAACATTTTATTACACTGAGTTCTGTGTGTTGTATTAATGATTAAATGCAGCAAAAAAAAGTGGCCCCCAAAGCAATTTAGCTGAACAGCCTTGCTTTAAGTGATTTTTGGAGTCAACTTAGCAAGTTAGCAAAACATCGCTCTGTATTAAATTAATGAAGCTTTTAAGAAATAATAATTTGAAAGATTACTCCAAGTAATTGACACAATTCAAAATGGCCACAACAGATGTAACTGCTGGCCTTAGAAAACACAAAAGTAGCCACGATTTGGACAAATTTACAAATATTCTGTAAAATGTTAGCGTAGTTGTAGCGGAGCATCCTCAGCAACATATTTCCTGAACCACTGGATGAATTTTACTAAAACTTTCAGACAGTAATCTTTAGTTAACTATGTCAATTTTACAGATATTGAGTTAAATTTGAGTCATTCACAACACATATGAGCGGGACAATGTTCTTCAAGTTTTGATCAAAAAGGCAGCAACGATGTCTTATATCAGTATATTATGATTTTAGTCTAAAACTGGCTTGAAATGCAGCCAACGATGTGCATTCCTCCAAAGAATTCTGAGTTTTTAATTGTCAAAGGATTCTTGAAAGGAAGCAGAGAATGCTGGGATTCCTGTTGGAGATCACAACAACTTGTTTACGTCAGTAACTGCAGTTTTTATTAGCTCTCATTACTCAGTGTCTTAAACTCCCCGAACTGCTCAGCCAGAGTATTTCTCAACCGAAGTAACCAAGAGTTTAAGTGTCTTCAAATGTTAGCACAGCGTGATAATCATTTCTTCTCTCCTGCCTCTTCCAGCTCATATTGATCGCTCCATCCCATCGTGTCGGTGCAGATTGCTTTCAGAGATTGCTCTTGTGACAGAGATCTCACATTGTTTCTCTTAATTTAAATGACTCTGCTTGATGTGTTTCACATTCATTACACCTGGATCGATCATAAGCAGTCTGCAAAAAGTAAAAGGGGATGTGAAGGAATCATTTTTGAGACATTTTTTAATTGTTTTTCCAAAAAAAAACTGCATCTTCCCCAATTCATGAAGTGTTTACGGCCAATTTTGATAAGTAAATACATTTTTAAATGCRCAGAAATGTGTTATAAAACAAATGAATTAGGTAGTTCAGGATATATTAATAAGGCTATAAATCTCCTACTGTACATGGGAAAGTTTCTCCTTGGTCCATTCTTGTGAGTTGGTGTTGCATCTTGGAAAAGAATTAATTGACATGAAGGAAATAAATGAATATAAGCAAATGTTTGCTGTCTCAGTCAAAATGTGTCAGCTGTTTCTCTTTGATCAAACTCAAGGAAAGCTATAGATTTTGCGCTCAGGGTGTTGTGGTAAACAAAGCAAAGGCGCATATGGAAAGTAGAGTAAAACCAAGCTTACATTTCAAACATGTTGTCAGCAAACACACAGTCTAACACCTCAGCTCAGATGGCCATAAAACAGACAGATTTACACACGGCAACAATAAAAACCATCATCACAAACCGTCTGGCACCTTGAGCAGCTCCAAAAGTGAGCAGTGTAAAAACAAAAGAAAACAAAAGGGGAAGAAAAAAAACAGATTGTTAAAATATATATAGCTGGTGTGAAGGAAGTGGGAGGTAGTTTTGGGCAGAGCGCTACGATTAAGATGAGAGTAAAAGAATATCTAGTAAAATTACACAAGCAAACAAATCACTTATCATCTTCTGGATTTTTAAAATAGTTTTAATCAAATAAAATCTTTAAAGATTAACAATGCATAATAGGATACTTTTTTACAGCAACTGATTTATTCTGACCAAATTTTAAATGTTGTTAGAATCCTGCAACTAAATTGTTTAGATGTTTTCTGTATTTAAACCTCAACTAGCAAAAGTTACTTAAAAAAAGAGAAAAACAGATGGTCAGCATCTTCACATTGTATGATTAACATGAACAATTCATATCAACATTCAGGTTCAACATGTGAGATCAATACGGCACTTGAGTAATACCTTTTTAAAAAGCAAAAATCATGTTACAAATGTAATACTTTCTTGTGTTTTCAATATAATTAATTACAAAAGAGTAAAACAGGCTGTTAACGTCATCTTGATTTGGTCTGCCAAGGACAGGCCTGACTGTCTGATGCAGAACTGCGTCAAAGAGAACACATGACCTGTATGGTCAAGAGGTCATGTGGAAAGAGGGATCCTTCATGCTACAATAACATATAAACCTTTACATTGATGAAAATGTCACATTGTGCAATTAATTGCGTCAAATGTTGTGGGGMTTTTTTGTAAGCACAAATAGCCTCAGCAGCAGTAGTTGTTGTATTTTGGGTGCAAACTGGAGCACCTTTATCAMGAATATTTCAAGTGTAATGATTTTGAAATATTAAACTGGCAATAAAATAYATGTTTATAAAGATTTTTTTCTGCATAGAGCACTTTTAATTAWTTGTGACTGGGATTTTTCTATGACAGCAGCAATCTATTTTATTCTTGATCCCCCTGTTAACTTGTCAGTCAGAAATAAACTTATTTTTTCTTGAAACTGAGGTCAGTCAAAGAGCTTCCTGCAACATCCCTTCTATAGAGCCTCATATTGAAAGATCTGAACTAAACCTTGATATAAACAACTGAATTATTAGTTAAAATCCATCCATGAAACACACAATATGCAGAACAAAGAACACTGTGATATTATCATTAGATGTTTTTCTGTTTGAGCTGGCTGAGGTGGAGGTGTGGAGCTAATTTTAACTGTTTTTTAGCCCATCATAATTAAATACTGTAGTCCGGCTGTAGGCGTTGTGCCCTCAGAGTAGGCTTTAAAAAATATTTCAGGTCATGAAACGATGAGTGGGAGAGAAAAGAAGAAAATAATTGAATAAATGGGTTTTTATTACTTTTCGTTTTTCTACTTTTTAATTACTTTTTTGCTTTTATGTTGAATCACTTATTGCAAATCCGCTAAAAAAGGATCCCAGTGAAGAAGAGAATTTTACATGAATGCAGGTGTGAAAATTAGGTACAATTTTGTATGGAAAAGGTAGAACCACGATGATGTGAGTCGTAATTTAGACTATTTCAGTACACTAACTACATTACGATGTACAAATGAGAAAATTCAAACCATTATTCAGTTCATCATTGTTTTTCACAGTTTATTATCAATTGTTCAGTTGCGATACACCAAACTAAGCTCAGCTGTGTGCCAGTAAATACATTACATGTTTCCTCTTTAATTGAGAGAATATTTTACAGCTTTTTAGCTCTCTCTAKACAAACAACTGCCCCTGAAAAGAAAAACAGCTGAGAACTATTCTACCAAAAAGTGAGCACAATTATGTAGGTTTTCTCCCCATTCCTGCATTAATAATGAGTTTATTTGCATTGCCTGGTCTTCCCTTGTTATGTATTCACTTAGAAAAGTGGTATAAATATGCATTTTTAGCCTATGTAAATCAGCCATGTAGATGTCTTTTTATTAATTCTCAAAGAAAGCCCAAAAGCCATCCTCATTTACTGCATAGTTAAGCACCTGTGAGGACATGTACAGCTCTGGGTGAGTGATCAGCTAAATGTCAACAACAGCCGCCTGAGCAAACAGCGCAGCGTTACACAGTTGTTTATTTTAGGATCCTGTTTTTCTTTCAGAATGTGTACTACACCAGTACGCAGCAGTTCCATGTTGGACTCCTCAGTCCCACCGTCGACGATGACGACAACAAGTGCCTGGTGGACGTGAARGGCAGGCCACGCCTCATCGAGTGTAGCTACGCTACAGCCAAACGCATGAAGCTCCACTGGCTCTTTACTCAGGTGATACATGCAGTTACCTAATAATATAACAAGAAAACACAAGGTTGGCATCCAGTCTTGTTTTTAGGCCTCAGTTCAGGTCATTTGTTGGAGTGAAAGTCAAACCAATTGTGAACCTAGTTTTAAAAGGTGTAGCTCCGTGAAAGCATTGTGTCCTCTTCCAATCTGTCATTTCAAACGGCTGTTTTTCCACATTATGGATGTGGTGGTGGTAGTGGTGGTGGTGGTGGTGGTGGTGGTGGTGGTTGGGGGGCATCGAGATGAACTCTAGACAGAGAAAAGGGAAGTGGTGGAAAACTTTAGGAAGTAATACTAAAATAACATGGCCAAGTCCAGGACAATGACCAAATTTAACCCCTGATCAATCAACATCTTGATGATGAAGTGGAGATTAAGAACTATGTAGTTGGATGTAAACTTTAAGACCTTTTCACACTGGATAATGAATTCACTACACTCTCTATCACCTACAGAAAAAATTACAATGTAGTTGGATCACAGCAAACTTGGAAYACCTCTGTCAGTGTGAAGGCAATCWTAAAGTGCTYTACTTTAGTTTCCGCTAAACWGCRTTTTTTTRCCTGCTACCTTCTGCAGCCTGGAGAAACTCTCCGGGGATCTCACCAAGCTCTGCCTGCCCACCCTGACACYACTTCATCAGACTGCATCAAAATGGGTTTCACTGCAATCACATCTGCTCCGTGTTGTTTCAGTGATCGCGTCACGATCGTGATCGCAGCCTAGGCATCAGGCCAGCATGATCTGTCCTGCTTTAAATTTTTGATGACACAGCCAGGCCGGTGGACACAAGCGCTATGCTAATGATACCCTGGACCACATCATCCAGGAGCCTGAACRACTGCCATCACACTGATAAACCACTTGAAGCTTGAAGCAAAAGTTTAAATTTAAATGATAAATGGACTGTACTTACCATATTTATTTGAGTATAATACGAGAAATTTAACCCCAAAAAGTGTGTAAGTGTGTGTGTGGGTGGGGGTGGTATACACGGGAGTAAATTTTAACTGGTGTTTTAAAGTACAACCAAAATTTCAATATTTCCTTGTATGTTGCTGAAATATTCCCCCGCCCTCCCTTTGTAAGTCAAGCATAGCYAAGCATATAAACCATAGCTGTTTACTCACCGAAGTCAGAAGAGAAAAMAAATTGTTTTCTTTTTCTTTTTGACCATGGCAATGCAAAAAAAACCTTYGACTTCAGTTGTTTGTGCTGATAAATCCATCTTAATAATTTACCAACCATCTTCTWCTTTGGTCTGGGAGGGGATTGTTTTTTCAGAGACACACAGAACTGGAAACTTCCGCTTCACGTCCTCTGCACCTCTGCAGAACACGCCCACGTTAAGTGTGTCTCCCTAAATAATGTTTCGCCACCAGGGGCGCACCACAAAGGCGGAAAATTCCTGAAATCTGTCAGAATTGAGTGGTGGCTCATAACATGGTTAGATTTTTTATGCTTTTAAAGCTAAAAAATTGTGATCGAATTATACTCGAGATTGTATTATACATGAATAAATACGGTATACAGTATAGCTCCATTCTACCCAACCAGGATATTCAAAGTGCTTTGCACTACAATCTGTGTCCTCATATATCCATTCACCTCATATTCACTCAGCACTCTACTACATCTCTCTACGAAGCTAACTCAGTGCTTAAATCATATTCATACACTGATGGGACACACGTCTTCCCCAGGGACACTTTAACATGTGTCTGGATAGCAGGGAAATCAAACTGCCAGCTCTCGCATTAGAGGACAATTAGAGACGACTCCCACAACCACTCAGCCACAGCCGCCCGATTTAAGAGATTAAAAAGTTTCTACGTCTACTAATTGACCGAACAACCAGCCTACCTATCTACTCACCCACTTATCTACTCACCCAACTACCTACCATTGATCTTTCTACCCACCTATCCAAATGTCTGTCTGTCTGTCTT